ACCAAAACTTAAAAAAAAAAAAAAAAAAAAAATAGAGGGTAAATTTAACTCTGCGTTTGAAGAGATAAAGTCACTATTTTAATTTTATAATGATATGTATTTAATTATAAGTAGAATGAGAAAATGTCGAATGTGTTATCAAAGACATCCAGCAAATAAATTAGAAAAGAAAGTTCGAATAATTTAATAATGCTGGTAATTTATTTGGCAACAGAGGTAACATGTTCCATGAATTTCCTTTCTTGTATCTTATTACATCACCCGTGTATTTGTTATGCCATTACATTAACAATTTTCTTCATTATATTCATAAAATAACAAAAGAAGGAATAAAATCAAGAAGATGAAGCCATCATCATCCTCACAAATTCATCATAGCTGACTAGACCGTCTCCATCAAGATCAGCTTCTCTTATCATTTGTTCAGCCTCTTCATCAGTTAGTCTTTCTCCCAAATTTATCATCACATTTCTCAACTGCACATAAGGAGAACAAAAATATTCAGTCAAAATAATTCTATTTTTTAAATAAGGTTGTTAAACAACATCAATGAATAGTTATTTACTTATAAAATAAAAAAGAAGGGGGTGGGACGGGATGGATGGAGAAGAGCGGAGATCTTAAAGGATGGAACCTCAATTCTCTACGAGTAGTACCAAAGCTTGGCCCCAAACTTAAGACATGTGGACGTAAGAAGACAGATAAACTAGTTGCAACCGGACAAAGGTGGGGGATCCTAAGTTGGATTGCAATGATCCAAAAATTTCATGGTTGGATTTCGAGTCGGTTGTGCCCAATTAAGGAAGTGTCCTTCGATGTAGTGAAAGAGTTGGACATTGATGGAGCATGTAATCCTTCCTAATTTGAGGAAGAACAAGGGGGAAAATGTTGCTGAATTTTGGNTATATATATATATATATATACACAATTGACTTTTGAATTGACGTAAATCAAACACCGAAGTTATGATTTTTCCCCTATTTGAAATTCGCCTTGTGTCTCCTTTCGGTTAATATCTTTCTTGTCTAATTCATTCGGTCTGGTGCACCATAAATTTTATAGAAAAGGCTCACTGTCCTAGAATTTTCTCAGCCTCTAATCCTATTTTTTGCGTCACCTTCTTCCTTATTTCCATGGAATTCTTTGGTTCGCTTTTTCTCACTATTTTTATTGTGATTTTCCAGCACAGTTTCGCATAGACGGTACCGATGTATTGACCTTAAAAATCTGCACAAGCTTGACGTCAAAAGATCTCTTGCCTAAAATTCGAATTGCAATCGTGGCACTTCAACGATCAAATCAATTGCTAGTATACCTGGATATTACCTATAGGACTTAAAAATCAAATGGCCATTGAACTTTGCACAACATTTTCATTGACCATGAAATTTAAAAGTTTTTCAAATTGTCGTTAAATTTTTATCAAATCTTCGAGATGAAATGCTAATTCCCTACAACGGATGAAGCGGGACCGGAACAGGAAATGAGTTAATCAAGAACAGAGATTTATGGGAAGCTTTGTGATGGGATATTCACCTCATTAGCTGAAAAGTTTGAAAGCTTCTTTTAACTATTATGCTAATTAAATTCAGCTTATACTTTAATATCAGTGTGCAGTTTAAATTAATTCATTATTATTACCTTCATTTTTCTAGCCGTAATACCTAAAAACTCTTCAATATCTATGGGGTCATCTCCATCACTGTCAACTTTATTTATCATTTCTTAAATTTCTTCCTACGTTGGATGTTCATTGAATGAGGGTACAACTGCTACATTAAGGGAAATCATAAATTTTGACAGTGTGCGCCTAATCTCGTCATGCATCAAGACACAAATTCAACTCACTTTAATTCCATAATTATCTGTTCACAATTTGAATAAAAGCACCAAATCTTGTCATGGTTCTAGAAGCAAATTCAATTCAATTCACTTTAGTTTTACAAGTCCCTACTCACAAAGTTGAATAAAACGGATTAAAGTTGGACTTATTTTCACTTTAAAAGGTACAATCCCGACTAGATAATTATGGCACATTGTTTTTTCTTTCCTGCTGAATCATCGATTTGATGTTTTTTCATCAATTTTCTTAGTCGTCGATGAATATATTATTTTAGCTCCAAAAAGAAATGGCATTATAATATTGAGATGCTCGCCTTGTCCACTAATAATGACGCGGTACAAAACAAGGAATTCAAACGAAAACTTTATGAATACGAAATTTGGAATCCACCAAATTATGAAGAGAATTGACTTACAAATTTTATTAATGAAAAGATGAACAAAACAACGAAATATCTCCTAATTTATAAGGATTTACATGGAAACCTATTTTAAGATTACAAAAATTAATGAATACAAGGCTTAAACATACTAAAATTGAAAAGAATTGAAAAATAAACTAAATAACAGAAATAACGTTAAAACTTAAATTAGTTTTTGAGTCCTAAACGAACTCGAATGGCCGAAATCAATCGTACATCATAGCATAGCGGTGAGTATTTCTTGTCTCGTCTCGTCGTCCTCTTTTTGAAATGGTTTTTTGGGTCCAAATCGAAATTCAAATGTTCTCTTTTCACTATAACTTTTTCCTTATTTTTATCCAATTCTTCTTTCATCCATTCAACAATATGTTCTACATCAGATAATCATTGCATGACTGAGTTACATTAATTTTATTATTGGTACCGACCAGCTAGTGAGGTGGTGTTTTAGTGTACGAATATTGTTGACCATTAATTTTGATGAATCTTCAGTTCTTTGGGTAGTCTACAAAATAAGTAACTTAGTTGCGTGAGGTGATTGAACTGGAATGTCGACTATTGTAGGGACTGTGATGCGAAGTTGCTATATTTTTCGAAACAGATATGATTTGACATTGTTCATATCTGTCCTCTTTAATTTAAAATTTTAATTTGGTGGCTCTAAGTATTTTCGATACTATATAAGTGTGTGCAAAGATTATGGCTACTTATTACACATCGAAAAAGTACAAATTGACTAAATAAAAGAAAGAAGAGGTCTCCCTGCTTATCAGTTTTATCAAAATCGATCCAAATTCACATACAAAATTGAGAATAAGTTCCGAAACTAGGTCGATTACACCCTAAAAATAGCTTAATTAGAAATTGACAGAAAAACTACAAAATCTGCCAATTAATCCTCTGTTGGGAGGAATAGGTAATTCGTATGTAGAGAAAATATCAATTAATAAATATAAATAACATAATTTTATAATTGCATAAACATAAAAATATTATAACAAGATAAACATTATAACTCAACAATAAGAAGATGTTTAGAAATGCAAGTCTCAGGGAGTCAGGTCAATGGACGTTGTCCTAAAATTATATTACCTCCTCTTCGTGCAGATTCTTTCAACACTATACGGCTCCAAAATAAAATTCACGTTGCTCACAGCTGATTTTTCTTCTATGGGCACGATTATAAGGAAATAAGTGAACGAACATTTATTGAATTGCCAAAAGTATATGAACATAAAATGTATAGGGAGTACTTCCAATATATATATATATATTGGCAACATTATACTGTATAATAGGTATAAAAGTCTTTTGGATTTGAATCTCACTTAGTGATAACAATTTTTATTTGAGGGAGACATAATGGATTAAGCCTTTAATTAGATCCCTTTGGCCAAATTTCAATTGTTCCACGTACAGTATCGATTTAGGCTCTAGTTCATTACGAAGAGCGTTCTTAATGGTNAGAATTCTCACCTCGATACTCATTCAGGGTTAAATCCTTCCTAGCATTACATTTATTAGCACTATCACCATAGAAATGAGCACAAATAAAATACTGCTATTACAAGTCACGAAGTGCGGATTGTTTCTACCATATTGAACCATTTTCATGAGATATTTAATCACAAAAGTTAGATTACTCCCGAAAGTGACTCCTATATAGGCATAAGTCAATCCCCCTCAATAATTTATATATGTCCAACTCAGATTATATTTATTCGCGTCCCTTTTAAACAATAAATTGATACCATAATATTTATAAGCTCTTATTCTCCGCTTGGAATCTGCACACTTGTAAAGTTTTCTTAAAATTTCTAAAATACCAATATCACGTATTTAAGATAAACAAATAAAATTTAGAAATTGACTTCTAGTAATATGTTTGTGTTAATGCATCCATTGAGCTCTTGCATTTTATCTGCATGTCTACAATTTTCAAAGTCGGTTTCACAACAAAGTATGTAAGGTGCATTTATTTGAAATTTTAAACACTTTCACATTCCAAAAATATCCAACTTGAATAGAATGAGCCTATGATCTTACAATTTATCTCTTTTGATAGGATCCAACATTGTGTAGAGATGGTTAATGCACATGTTTTCCACACTTTCATGATTTTCATTCACCAATAGATCCACAAATTCTTGTTAAACACATTAGCAAACTAATATAACAATAAATTATAAACAAATAATTGATTATATTTAGAATACCTACCGAAGTAGGAGTACGACTAATTATGAATGAGATTATAACAATATCACAAATCAAATTAACATTCTCATCATATTTTGCCACTATGTCTTGGAGGAAAAGAAATATTTAGACCATTAAAATATAGGTTAAAATATAAATTATGAGTTTTTAATCATGTGTTAACAAGATAATTAAAATAGAAAATTGAAAAAATTAAAATTAGCTTTAATTATGAAATTTAAAGCATATAAGTTTATGATACAATATTCAAGACAATAACCCATCTATGATTTTCAATAAGTTGTCTTCTTCCTTCAAAATTTTATAATTATCACATACTAAAGAAAATGACTAACAACCTAGGCATCATCAAGTGTTTCTTTTCCAAAATAAAGTAAAACCTAAAAAATCCACACCTAATGCTTCAAGCCAATAAAGTGGAATATGCTAAGAGACATTATTAACTTTTCTTATAACTTCAAGTACTCATACATTACACGTATGACCAAAGTAAAAATAAATGTCAATTTTGACACTTTGATTACATGTGTGTAAGGGATCACATCTTAGTATATTTCTTCATTGGGAATTCTTGAGAGCGAGTTAAATTTACCCCTTTGCATCTTACATCATATATAATTACCAATGTATCACTCCCTTTTTTCTTTAGTTACTAATATTCATTCAGCAACAATTATTTGTAAAGCCTATTAATAAAAAGGAGATGAAATTTAAATAAAATAAAATCTCCAACATATAGTATACAATATTATAACGTCAATTATTTAAGCATCGATTACGTCATATTATACAATAGGTAACAAAATTTTATTCTATTTAAATTATAAAACTTCTCTTTGAAACATTTACTCATACCTTTTATTATCAATATGTTAAAATTAAACAAATAAAATTTGAAATGAATAACAATTATGTTCGAGCATAATTTGTTCAATAAGTTTCTATTCCCACATATATGCACGTAGGTCATTTTAGAATATCACTAACAAACTTATATCTTGACCAATTATTCACCTAGTCATTGACAAAAACAATTGCAAAATTCATTTACATGTACAAATATTAATGACCATATAAAAATCACATAATCTAACCTTCAAATTAAACATCATATCTTGGAAAATGTTTTTCCCTTTAGTAGTCATCATGTAAGCAAATAGAACTTAGCATCATAACAGTATAAGATGTATATTCCACAATTTGTCAATACTTTTTAATGCAGTAATAACAATAAATATGAGTTACAAGTATAAATTGAATAATATAATTATCAGCTTTTTCCTCAAATAAATACTTGTAACTATTACCTTATACTAAATGGTTTATATTCCCGACACCTAAGCATCAAATTATAGATAGCAATTTTTCAATAGGGTCACATCAAAAATTGAAATGCAACTTGTTCTTTTACAAATATAAAATAGAAATAGATTATTTTGTATGAGTCATGTTAAAACCAATACATCAAGGGTAAGTACAGAGTACAATTCTAAAAATATATGCAAAGAAGTATAGAACTTGAGAGTTATGAGAGTCATCAATGTACCATCTTAATGAGTAAACTCAACCACTTCACTAAATTAAGGCATACAGGTTAGTAGATTCACCGCTTCAATGAAAATAAGTTTTCATAACCTATTTTGACTAACTTTTCTTCTTCTTCTTTAAATAGGAAACTTTTCTCTTCGAGAAGTCACTAGGACATTCACAGGACACTATATGCAATTGTTTAAAATTTACCACAAGCAACATCGTGCGTACGTAGTCTTTATCAATTGAAGTCCTAGACTAAATCAATTCTAGAAAATACTTAAGGGTTTAAAAATGCTTGCCATATTTTGTTAATGGGTTATGTTAATGGCAGCAAATTGGACAATAAAACTTAAAATTCAAATTTAGATCTCTAATGAAAGTATAAAGATGGTGATTTTAGTTATCATCATGCAACTAAATCGCTAAAGAAAATACAAATTCAGCTCAAATAATTTTTCATTTCAATCCAATACTATTTTACAGGCTTCTCTATGCACTTACAACATATATCATTTATATATTGTCTTCCATTAAATTTTACTAGAATACAGACAAATTAATTCAGTATCAAAACATGGTAAATGCCAGCTTTACCTCTTGAAGATTACATATAAAAGGATTAACTTAGTACAAGATAATTGCTAAGATGTTCAAATCCAAAAATTCCAACTTACAGTTTCAAAAATCATAACAAACAAGCCATGAGAAAGGGTCATTTACACACAAATCACTCAACATGACTTTAGATTGTTGAGAAAAATGAGTGATTTCTGTGCAGATAAATTATCAATTAATAAATGTATATAACATAATTTTATAATTGCATAAATATAACAATATTATAGCAATATAAACATTATAATTCAACAATAAGAAGAG